CCAGATGGCTGTGCTTCCTGTTGATTTGAAGGAACAAGTGTCATGGCCCTGAGTCCTGGAGTTCTTGGGTGGGGCGGTGGGGAGGAGAGGGGAATCCCATTTCCTTTTTGTCTCCTATTGAGGCCAAGGTAACACTGGACAAGGGAGCTTATACACCAACAAGCCCTCAGAGCTGCTTCCTGAGAGTTTATTCCCACGTCACCTCCATCTCTATGGACCCTGAGATATCACAAAGGGGCCTCCAAGATAGTCATGGGCACAGAATAACTTGTTTCTATCCTTTTAGGACTAATCCTCAGGCTATTTAAACCTTGGAACACACCATCCCTTGGGATGCAAGCTTCCCAGAGGCTGGAGTTGTTGACTTGCCAGTTTAACCAGATTCCAGATTCCTCCTGTATGCATAGTCCCCTGTAGGATCTACCTCCACCCTTACTGACCCTGTAATGGTCAGCCTGAACTCATCATTCCAGGCTTGATGATTACCTTAGCATGACAGAATCATTCCCCCTCTCATAGCCAAGTATCTTTCATCCTGTGTAAGGAAAATACATTTGCAAGAGGAACAAATCCAAGAAGTATTGCTTTGAGCAATATTTCAGAGCTTCAGGCTTCTTCCAAACAGCAACATTGAGTCAGACTTTCTTGCTTCTTGCTTTGCAGAGCACAAAGATTGATGGAGGAGGGAGAACAGGGAGGACCAGAATCCGCTTCCCAAGATTTTAAAGCTAAGAGGATTGGATCCCCAGAAACAAAAGACTTATCCAAAGTAAAGGTTGTCAAAATTGATAACAAAACTAGAATAGAAATCTTAGACATCCTAATTATAGGGCTCTTCCTGTCATCTACTGGCTGAGGGAGTCATGAATGTGGGTCTCACATGACAGCAGCACTCGGAAGGGAAACATCTGAGTGAATCGTGTACCGCAGATAAGCCCCTGAAGACCAGACTGAGCACGTCTCTGCTGCCCTCTTAGTGACCCTGTAGATGCCTGACTCCCCTGCCCTTCTGCTCTCCCTCCTGCCTTCTCAGAGCTGCGAGCATCTGTCGTTTCCTGCCCCCTCTCCCACATGCCGACACACCCATGCAAAATGGACATTCAAAATTCATAGCATAATTTAGGACACAATGCTTATTTCTTTTTAAATTTTTTATTGAAGAATAGCCGATACAATATTATATTTCGAGAATACAACAGTGATACAACAGTTATATACGTTATCAAATGTTCACACCAGCTAGTGCAGTTACTGCCTGTCAACACAGAAGGCTGTTACAGAACTTCCAACCATTCTCTGTGCTGTACTTTCATCCCTGTGACTGATTTACATTGTGATTGAGATTTCTGGGCCTCCTCATCTCCCTCATCTACCCGGCCCACCCCTGCCCCAACCCCTCCCCTATGGTAACCACAAGCCACCACTCAGTGTCTCTGAGCCTACCATTGTTTTGCTCATTTCGTTTTGTTTTTAGATTCCACAAAAAAGTGAAATCATGTGGTATTTTTCTCTACCTGGCTTATTTCACTTAGCATAATACCATCTACGTCCATCCATGTTGTCCCAAATGGCAGGTAGCCCCTAGATAAAGTGTATGTAAGGGCTTTTTGAGAAGAGATGTACAAAATATAAACAGAGTTTCAAGTGGTCAGTTGGTGCTAATGTGACTGATCACAAGCAAAACACAAAGATGGGTACTGACGCTCCTGGCGGAATTCCAAAGCTACGTGTCATCAGGGTGATACCAAATATGTGCAATGGGAAAAATATTTCCACACCCCCCAGTTTGGGTGTGAAAAAATAAATCTCTACATTTCCCTCTTACTGATCTTAATTTTTATGTCAAGCACTGTAAAATCTTAGAGCTCATAAATGCCAGATAAACTCAGTGGATTTCATAACAATAATTTGAAAACAGCCATCCGCCCAGGGTTATTTCTAAGTCCTGAGGTTAAGAGGTGGCGCAAGGTTAGTGCCCAGGCTCTCTTCTGATTTCCAGTGTGACTCCCACTCTTGGTCTTGGTCACATTGTGCCTCCTGGGGGTCACTGACCTTCCCAGACTGGTGATGATGACTGTCATGTCCGTGACATCACTCTCTTCTTGCTGCATCATTCCTTGCCAGCATTTCAGGCAGCAAACTTTCACCCCAAATCTGAGCTTTCCAAGGCCCACGTCCTCTTGCTGCTGTTCTTTAGTCACCCCTGGGACAGTGGTGTCTGTGCTGTTGCCGTTCTGGGGCCCGGGGTGAAGTGGGGCACCAGCCTCTCCCCTCTACTTGAGAGACAGAAACAGGGTAAAGAGACTCTTGCTAATGTTAAATTATTTTTCTCTTCTGTTCAAACCCCTCATCCCCCACAATAGGAAGGGTCTTTATCTACCCTGAAAGGAGGGGAATATGCTCACATTGAGAATAGCAACCTCCAGTTAGGTGCCCAAATATGGGCTGATCATAACAGGAGAGGAAGCAAACTCAAGGAAAAAAAACAACTTAAAATTTATAACATCACAATGTTGCATACATTCATATTTTACATTGAAATATTTTACACCTACAATTTTTTTTCTGGAGAATTCTTGAATCCTGAAAATATATCTGCAGACCCTCAGGGGTACCTGCACTCTGATTTAAGAAAAACTGACATAAAGGGGGATCAAAGGGAAAATTTAATCTAAAAAGCATGCACACAAATGTGCCTATAACCTCAGTCATTACAATGTTTGTGCCCAAATGTTGTGCTGAATTGCTTAATAAATTTATTTGATTGATGTAAGAGTAACTAAACTCTTTGTTACCCAGCAAAGGGAGATAAAAAAATAAAATAAAATGAGCAATAACCTAACACAGCAGACTTGGCCGGGCACTGTGATGCTGAGACGGTGATTATTTTCGCTGGCCTCTGTTTTCTCATCAGTAAAATGAGGGATCGGGTTTTGATAAAGGGTCTGGCTTCCAACTCAGCCCCATGAGTACTGTGCTCTGGGGGACACTTGGCACTCGGTGGGGAATCCTCAGCGTGTGGCAAGGTAGAGGGAAGGGTGAAGACGGAGAAGGTACCGCCAGCACCAGGTTCTGTGTGTGGGCCTGGCTGGATAGCACAGCCCAGGCCTCACCCAGAAGGGGCGCCCTGGCCTTCTGGGGAAGCGTGAGGAGTGCTAATATCACTATTTTGTCTGCAAGTCTAAAGAACTCATAACTACAACCAGTCAAAGTCCACTTGCCATGTGAGTTTCGCTTCAGAGGATCCACAGGTAGGAGGTGAACACAACATTCTGACTGGAATCTCATGTTCAGAGCGGAAGTCAGGGATCTGGAGTGAGGCAGCACGAATCCTTCACCCACAGCCTGGGGGGCCAAGGCCGCCTCCACCCCGTCTTGCTGTCCCCCACTTCTGGCTCCAGTCAGCGCCCAGGGCTGTGGCCCATCTTTGGACACCTGCTGCGTGGATGCAGGGCACGCCTGAGACCAAGTGAGGAGCTGACCCAGCAGCTCCAGTTCCCCCTGACGGAGAGAGGACACATGTGAGTGGTTTGGACTGGAAAGTCCCTGGGGGCGGAGGTCGGGGAAGTCCACTACTATGAGGAAGTTGGCATCTAGACAGTCAGCGCCCAGCAGGGAAACTGCCACTCGTCACAATACCTCCCACTTGTATTTCACTCACACCCTGCTTGATATTTTTCAAAGTGCTACCCAAGCTTAAGTGATCCTCACAATATTGCTGTGAAACCGTTTGGGTGATGAAGGGGCACTGGATTAAACCCAGAAAACTGGGATCATGTCATTCATTTGTCATGCGTGATCTTATTGTGCTGTGTCTCGGAGCCTCGGTTTCCTTGCCTGTCACATAGTGAACATACAGCTGGAAAAATATTAGGAACAGCGCTTTCCATCAGAGAGTAGAGAAGGGAGAGGCTCAAGAAAACAAAGCAAGATTCTCAAGGTCACAGAGGTAAACACAAAGTCACCTTGTCTCCTAAAATTCTTATTTTACTTTCCTTTCTCTCTATAAAAATATGTTATTTTAAACATGTGATCAACTACATCTATTTTTAAAGTTTATATAGATATATAAGCTTCAAACTTTGTGAATTGAGTACATTTATTCTCACCAGTTAATTACTGTGGTCATGTGGCACTTTGAAAAATTAATATTTGATGTTTTTTACTGGAAAACAAACCTCTAATGATCTGTAACACATAGTAATTTGTAATTTTCTTTGGTATGAATTTTAATTCCATAGACATTGGAATTCGGAATAGCTACTCACCTAATGCCTAACACAAACCACCACTCATCATGGCATCTTAACACTTGTACTTTATCTGGAAAATTAAATAAAACGTGGCTTTGAGAATTCGACAGTACATATACGTATTAGATCATATCTCTTAACAATATCAAAGTTTACCATCTTCAAGTTTCTGAAGATTTGGGGCTTATATTCAGATGGTAAAACAGAAATATCAAGAAGCTTAAAATTAAAGTATTTTGATTTAAAGTTTATGACTTAGGTTCAAATCATTTATCTATAAAATAAGCGTGCTAAAGATTTTCAACATGCTGATGGCAGATGGTCCATGGCAGTGTTTTTCCTCAGCACTGTTAACACTTGAAGCTGGATAATTCTTCACCATAGGGGCTTCCCTGTGCACTAGCATGTTTAGCGGTACCCTCAGCTAATACCCATAGATGTCCTCTCCCCACAGCTGGGACAACCGAAAATGGCAGACATCGCCACATATTCTCCAAGGCAAAACTGCCCCCTTGCCCTGTGAGACCCATGGTGTGAGGCGGTTACTCTGTTTATACTCACAGACCTCTCTCTGGGCACTGGGGCAAGTTAACATGCATTTTTTTTTACAACTTTCTTCAAAAGCTTCACTGATTTGGGCAGTTCTTTCTTGGAAGTCTCCCTCTAGATCTCTGGGACATCCGCTTGCCAGATGGCGGCCTCTCTAAAGTGTTTGGCGTGTTCGCTTCTGTGTTTGCTCCAGGGGGGATGGTGGCTCTTCCAGGACACAGTCTGTCCGGTGTAGTTGCCTCCGTGCTGCTCACCGTGAAGCAGCCAGGTAGAATGACCTTCTTGCCCGCACTGCACACCGGATGTCCCAGAGATCCAGTCTGCATGCAGAGTTCGAAATCAAAAGGGCTAGTACTATATTACGAGGGGGTCTAGGGCTCAAACATCTATGCTCCCCAAAGGGTTCCTCCACTTTCAGCCACGTTACTTTTGGAGTGTCTTCTGCCTTAGTTCCCTCATCTTTATGATAAAATAGCAATGTACCTTGGTGAAAGGGGGAGCCTAGTAAACAAAATGTTCTTCATGTAATTGTAGATTAATGATACCAAAATAAATAATAATAATAATAATAATAAAAAGAATAGCGATGTACCTACATCCCATAGGCTAGCACAAGCTTTAGAACTAAATGAGGCTGTACAGACAAGATACTTGAATTAGCCCCTAGAGCACATTAAGTTACTAATCCATTCCCCTGCTTCCAGGCAGCACAGCACTTTGGGGACAAGAAAAGTGGCTCTTTCTTACCATAAATTGAGCAGCACAAAACTACTTGGAAGCAAAAAACTAGAGGGAGACTTCCAAGAAATAGACTTGGAAATCTCAGTAACTGAATTTCGTCCATCACAACATTGTACCTTGAGAAAGGATTATGAAAAATCAATGTCAGAGGGAAATATTAGAGCCCCAGGGAAAATGCAGCATGGAGAAGTGGGGAAAATCCTGGACAGAGCACAGAGGTGCAGGCTGCAGACTACTGAGTGCTACCAGACATGATGTGATGTGATGAGGCTGTCCACCCCTCCATGTGCTCAGTGTCCTAACCTGTGAAAGTGGTCAGCCAGAGGGTGACTTCAGACCTACTAGCCTCATAGTCACATTCCATCAATGAGGCATGCAGGCAGATCTCTACTTAAATCCTATGTGACCTTTTAGCAGCATCTATTTGATACAGAGCAGCAACTTAACAAGGCGAGGTTCCTTCTTAGGAGGATTGGATGTGCACAAAGCAAATGCAAATGGCCCTGGAGCATTTTAGGGGGAGACAGAACATAATATACATGACATATGAAATTATTAAACATAACAACAGGAGGAATTATTAAGCAACTCTTCAATTTTCAGGTAACAATGAAGAGGTCAAACATGACTCAAAATGTCCTTGTAAAAACTGCAGTGTACATAGACTAGGAACTGGAGAATTTTCTGCTCCAGACCAAAGAGAAAAAGGGAAAAAAAAGCCCAGTCCTACTTAGGACCAGAGCAATCCTGAAAAGCTAAAAAATCTAGTGAGTGTATTTACTACCTAAATTTTAGGAAAAGCTATTGTAATGACAGTCACTAACAATATAAAGTGAAATTACTAACTATAAGATAAATGATTATAAAAATACAAAATAAATAATAACATTCCTGATTAAAATAATCATTTACATATTAATTTATTTGAGAATAAAAACAACCTAGAGATGGTAGTTTTAGTATCTTAAAGATACTGAGATTCCAAATCTCAAATCTCACTGAAAATAGTGGATTTGCTTCCCAAATCACACAGCTTGTGACAAATTCAGCACTGACACTCATCAAATTTTTGAACTGCATATTATTTTCAGTATACAAAACTATCTTTTTAACAGCCAAATGTGCAAATCATTATGCTATATTTTTCTAAAACTTGAAAATAAAGCTCTTTCTCCTCCAGGTGACCCTACTTTGATAGATTGGACATCCCAAAGCAAGCTTATTAATCTCCCAATTGGCATTTCCTGGTTCCTCTTTTATACTGTTCTGTAGATGACTTCAGAGTGACTAGTCCCACCCATCCTATCACGGCCAGGGTAGGGGAAGATGCCCTCCTGACATGTCAGCTCTTCCCCAGGAGGACATCAGTACACATGGAGGTGAAGTGGTACTGCTTGGAGCCCAGCAGAACTGTGTTTGCACACTGGCATGGATTTGGAGCGACCGAGATGCTGATGGAGGAGTACAGAAGCCGAATGGAGTTCATAAAGGATGACGTTGCTGAGGGAAAGGTGAGGTGAAGACGTACAACATTCAACCATCTGATAATGGGCAATACTGGTGCCATTTCCAAGAGGGGAACTACTGTGGAGAAGCAAACTTGCTGCTCAATGTAGCGGGTGAGTACTTGGGGAAAGACAAAGGGTCTCAGACGGAGAAGTATATTAAATCGTGGTAAGCTTATTGCCATTTGGAGAATTCCCATTTAAGCATTAGGGTAATTCCTAATGCCCACTCTTCCATCCTGATTCATTTGAAGGCAAGTCATGCTGAAGTCTTCAAAGCAAGCTCACTTAAAAACAGTCTTCCCAAATTTAACCTACATGGTTTTGACTGTTCTTGATAATTAATTGAAATCCATGACATACGGTCATTAGCAATTTTGCTAAGTCATGATTTGTGCCACGTCAAGGGCAAGTCGATTACTGAGCACGTTTACCTAATTGCCCAGCATCTGTATCTCAGCGGAATTGGTTGTTCTCTACCAAACCTCAAAGGCACAGTAACTGAGATGTGAAAACTTTGTTTCTTGGCATAATGCCTCCAGTTAGAAAGCTAGTAATGTAACTGAAGAAATTAAGAACATTGTGCTTCAGTGGAAATTCTTTTACACTAGTGTTCAATGAACTGGGCTCACAGATGCTTTTGGACAAACCCACAGCAAATAGCAAGGCTCTGCATGATGCTTTTGTATAAGCAAAGTAGGAAAGAGTTGAGAAAAAGAGGATGACTGAAGAAAGCTCTGTTTAAAGGTAAAACACATTTCTGAAAAGTAAACTTTCATATGGTTCTCTGGCAGGAATAAATCTTCTATGTGCTAAAGAGAAAGTCAGGCAAATCCATTCACCTTATCAGGGCAATAGTTCTCTGGAGATGTTACCATCTCTGGCTGTTACTGTTTCCTTCTTTACTCCCCCCTATGAGGCTGTTTTCTAACACCTTTTATTCATAACAACCAAGACTATCATTATTATTGTTATTATATTCAAGGTGATTCAAGATGGATGAAGTAATCCAAGTATTTCTGAGATCTAGAGATGGGAGGGCAGCATTTCACTATCAGGGACATGTAAAAATAAGCCACATGAATGGAGTCTCTTTTCCAGTAACTGATGGAGTCAGGAATCTCATCTATGAACAATACAATCTCCTTTGTTTGGGTTTGAGAGTTGTATTGAGTAGAGAAAGAATTTCATGATTATACAAGACTAGGATTTTTCAAAACCATATTTCCTTTTAGATTCCTATTTAGACACTAGAACTTTTCATGGAGCATCCCATTTTACACACCCCTGGTTATCTACTTGCATCCCAAGATTACAACCATCAACAAAAGGAATGGGAAGAATGGTACCCAAGGAGGTGATTTCTGATTTTATATTAAATATTCTATTTAAATAAGAGTCAATAAATCATCCAAAATGTCAGACAAAGTGCTTGACACAACAATATTAAGCTGAAAAATGCAGAGCTCATAGCATGGGGGAGCTCATGAACAAATTATAACACATCTTTGTTTGCAGTATTAGAGACATAAGCAAAATGTCACTGTGTCCCTTTCTCTTCTCCTGTCTGGATCTGAAGAAAAATGCTGCTCATATGTTCTACTTTAAAGACCTAGCCTGGGGAACAAGTAAAGTGAATTGGACCCAGTTTAAATGGGAAGAAGGCTTCAGACTGCTTTTTGCTCCCCAGAGCCCTGGACTCCTGCACTCTCCCTCTGATCAGTGCCACTGGGATCTCAGTCTCTATGAGTTGTGCCTCCATGTGCTCCAGGCCTGAGGGCTATATCTCTCCCCCCACCCCCCCACCCCACCCCAGGTCTGGGTTCTGATCCTAATACGACATGGAGGGAAATGTACAAAGTGGAGTCCAGCTGGTGTGCACTGCAAAAGGCTGGTTCCCAGAGCCCCATATTTATTGGGAAGACAGCACAGGGAGAAGCTGCTGACTGTGTCTGAGCATCACATCCAAGGTACAGACAGCCTGTTCTATGTGTAAGCCACTCTTGTTGTCAGGAATGCCTCTACAGAGAGGGTATCTTGCTTCATCCACAGTCCCATCCTCAGTGAGGAGAAGTGGTCAGACACCCCCGTTCCAGGTCAGTGCCCTGCCTCTACCACCATGCACTCAGGTTAACAGGGGAGGTTCCAGGGACTGTTCTGTAGCACTTAATATTTTTTTATCAAGAAAAATGTAGTAACATGTTTTAAAAGGTATAAAATATTTATGACTGGAAATACATATGTTATATTTTGATTGAATAGCTGTTGTTAATGGTACTCCAGTTATTTTCAAGTTTGGCCTTTAATTCTGTCTGAATTGATTTTCTTCACTCACAAGTATGCTTCACATTGTAAATAAAACAAAACTATATTCTTGCAGTTGAAATGCTTTCTTATGCTGTATTATGTTGATTACTTCCAGGAACCTATCACATGAAGATAATCAGAGATAAATAATAGATAACCAGTAACAGAAAATCAAAACTATTTACATATAGCATCTTAATTACAGCCTTATTTATAAATAGCAACAAAACAACAGCCAAAAATAACCCAACATAGCAATGGAGTGTTAAGTGTATTACATTATTATAAATTACAGTGTTGAAAGAAATGGAAATAAAAACTACAATGAGATATCACCTCACACCAGTTAGGATGGCCACCATCCAAAAGACAAACAACAAGTGCTGGTGAGGATGCAGAGAAAGGGGAGCCCTCCTACGCTGCTGGTGGGAATGTAAATTAGTTCAACCATTGTGGAAAGCAGTATGGAGGTTCCTCAAAAAACTAAAAATAGAAATACCATTTGACTCAGGAATTCCACTCCTAGGAATTTACCCTTAGACTGCAGGAGCCCAGTTTGAAAAAGACATATGCAACCCTCTGTTTATTGCAGCACTATTTACAATAGCTAAGAAATGGAAGCAACCTAAGCATCCATCAGTAGAAGAATGGATAAAGAAGATGTGGTACGTATACACAATGGAATATTATTCAGCCATAAGAAGAAAACAAATCCTACCATTTGCAACAACATGGATGGAGCTAGAGGGTATTATGCTCAGTGAAATAAGCCAGGCAGAGAAAGACAAGTATCAAATGATTTCACTCATCTGTGGAGTATAAGAACAAAGCAAAAACTGAAGGAACAAAACAGCAGCAGAATCACAGAACCCAAGAATGGACTAACAGTTATGAAGGGGAAAGGGACTGGGGAGGATGGGTGGGAAGGGAGGGATAAGGGGGAAATAGGGGCATCACGATTAGCACGTATAATGTAGGGGGGGAACATGGGGAAGGCAGTATAACACAGAGAAGGCAAGTACCAATTCTATAGCATCTTACTATGCTGATGGACAATGACTATAATGGGGTATGTGGTGGGGACTTGATAATAGGGGGAGTCTAGTAACCATAATGTTGTTCATGTAATTGTACATTAATGATAGCAAAATAAATAAAATAAATAAAACATAAATTACAGCATTGATGAAGAATGTTATTTTCAGAAAATGTTAATGGCTGAAAAACTCATCATGATGGACTAGTCAATAATAAAGATAACATCTATCCATTTATCTATGATTAGACATTTCCAATCATGTAAACATCATTGGCTTTAAAAAACTCATAGCTGCACTAAAACTTCTGGGACACCTCTATATTTAGACATAATGATATAAGATATAGTATTCTTACTCAGATAAATGAATACAGGAAAAAAACTTAAAGTAAATGTTATATATTATGTTAAAAGGAGCTATATGTAATTGCAAAACATATATACACATTTTATCTCTCAGTTTGGAATTATAGGTGACAATTGCCTATGTCCATATATTTTTATACCTTCTATGCATTTATAAAAGAATATATTCGTTTTATAATTAAAACTTGATATGTCAAATATCAGCAGAAACAAACATAACCATAAGGTGATAGAACTGAGAGCATTTTTATTGTGCAGAAAAGAGGAAAAGCAGCTGGACAGACTACCAGGGGATCCATGGGAAAGAATCAATATTTTCTGCATTCAATTTCCCTTTTTATAAATTAAGCTATCCAATAAAATGTAGAAATTGCTTTTATTTCTTTGAAATATTGTCTCTGTTTTCCCTTAGGTCAAGTTCCTTAATAAGTTTTCCTTGTTCTTTTTCCAGAGAAGCTCCAGACTGAAGTAGACCGAACGGCAAACACGCGTAGGTGAGCCTCCGCCCTCCCCGGAGGAGGTGGTGCTCCCCGGGCAGAGCGAGAGGGAGATACTGAGAAGCCTCATGATTCCAAGGAGTAACCGAGGCATGACTTCACCACGTCTCAGTATCAGAAGGCAAAGCACAGGCACCTCTGCACAGCAAAACTTGCCATTTTCAGTGTTCATGGGGTCCCTGCGAACTTCAGATGGACGCCCATAAGGGGCAGGAGGAAAGGGAAATGCCTTTGGGTTGTGGAAGGGATGCCACAGGGCAACTGATGGGGCTCTGGCGGCCCTTTCAAGTCATTCCTAATGTTAGTGAGGGCAGTGCTGCCACGACAATTGGAGGTCACCACCCGCCCACCTCCACCCTCGGGCTCTGCTGTGGTTTCTGCACCTGCTCTTTACCCCACTGGATCCTAACCTCATCAGTACTGGGAGGGAGCTGTTACTTTCCAAGATGCAGCCTAGGACCCTGTTGGTTTGTTTTTTTTTTAACTAGTGAGACTGCAGGTATTTTGTCACTGTACCTATAAGGGGTTTAAAAATAACCAACCGATGTTTGACCCTCTTTCGGTTTCTCCTTTACCTCCTTACCCTCTGCCTCCTTTCTATGACCTCTCTCCTATGATAACCAGCCTGCTCCCTGCCCAGATGCATATGAACTTGTATCACTCCTTTTCTCCTTCCATCAATACCCTGCTGTCCCTCAGGTCATCTGTTAGCAGGAATGTGCCTGTGTGCGTGCACCTATGTGCATGTTAGGTGAACTTAAGCACGCTTTTCAGCCCACATACGAGTTTTTGAGGAAAAGTCAGGTGGCAACACACTGCAATCACTGCCAGAGTCTAGTGTGACACCTTCAACCCCCATCAGGCCATAAAGGTACAGGGAAGGGCCTCAGGAGGGACAAAGGTAACTCCACAGTCTGAAGAGAGTTGCACACCTGTGTGCCTTTCCTTCCAAGTCAGATCCTGTTCTGCTCAGGGTGACATCCGCTCACCATCAGACAGAAACCTTAACCAGCAAAGCTTGTTAGTGACAGAGTAGAGTCAAGCCAGTGTTTGGGGGAGTTTGACACTTCTCTGTCCCTCAGGAAGAGTTTAGTTAAGAGTCATTCCTGTGAGTTACTTGAACCAGCTTGACATGTCCACGGGAGACCCAGCAAACAAACTACAGTCCAGTGTTTCTTTGTTTCTAAATAGTGCTGACCTTCTGGGGCCTCAATAAAACAAGATGAAAACAACAGAGCCTTCCTTGGCCCCCTGTCAGGCGGGGGAAGAAGTCTGTGTTCTCAGGAGCTTTGAGGGTGCACTTTGATTGAGGCTTTTCTGCGTGACAGCCCCTGGGGGAAGAGGGAGCATCACAGCAGCCTCTGTATTCTCCTGAGTTATAGGTCAGAGACAAGGTCATCCCACTGCAACAGGCTGTTGGCAAACTGAGCTCTCCATAGAAATCCTGAGACTGAAATCCTAGTTCCCTCTCTGGAAAGTAATGTTATTGATTTATAAAAATGACTAGCTTTTGAAATACTAATTATATGCTGGGAACTAAGCTAAGTGCTTTACAGGAGTTATTCTATTTATGATAATTATAAGGTTAATAGATTTATACTCATTGTACAGATGGAAAACAATCTTAGAGTCCTACGAGGTTTGCTGAAAACCACTAAGTGTGATATTTGCCTTTTAATCTTTGTGTGTGATTGAGTGCAAGTTCTTAATAATTTATGTGTGATTTTTAGTAAATCATTGGTCTCTATTTTCTCATCTTTAAAATGGACATGTTGGATTTAATCTCTAATGTAGTGTCAGGCTCTAAGAATTTAGATATATATGATAGAATTAATATAACATAATGAAATATATCATAATATAATACAATGTAACATATTGGGGAAATAAGATAGCCCACTTAGTTGACTATGCTGATTGAAAGAGGATTATAGGATCTGATGATGGAATTATCAGGTTTCAAGGAATTAGTGTATACTTTGGTCTACTACATACTCTAGAAAGGATTTTATTTTTCAGTGGATATTCAGAAGGCATTTCAGTGACATATATATGAAACTCAAAAATAAAACAACAAATTGTGTGGAAGGTATGGACAAAACCATATAGAAAAAGGAGACTCTGCAGAGCTGCTGCCAAGGAGCTCATATTCTAGTGGAAAATAAATCACTGACAAACAGGGATGCATGGTTTCTTTCCTGTACTTCAAACTTTATTTTTACTTGGATTCCAGGAAAACAGGAGTTAAATATATCTGTAATGTGCCTAATTAAATCTCCATACTTATATTTGCATTTCTTTAATCCCCACGAAAATCAATGTTAGCTCTTAATTAACCTATGTCTGGCAGGGTAACATAGTTTTGAGATTTATTATGTACCAGGGGTCATAGACAGGGGGAGAAAAAATCATCATGTGGATAATGGAGATGACGAAAAAGTCTTTTATTAAGTGATTTACTGTAAGACACTTGGATGGAGAAACTAATCCCTAGTTCATTTTGTCTGACTTCTACTTTTGTCTTCAGATTTTAACAGATACATACAGAATGGAGATACTATTGTTTTAGGTATAATTGAAGGATAAAGCAAACAAAAAGCTGGAAATACTTGAGAGTCAAATTTTAGCTAGAATAGGGGGAAATAATCTGAAAATTAGATTTAGTTGACAGCGAGGTTCCTCTTTAGAGAGGTACCTAGCAGATTTTGGCGAATTATATAATGAGGACATTTTGCCATTGGTCATTGACTCCCATCCAGACAACGTACAAATTTTTACCTATATTTCTATCATAAGTGATCATAACATATGTGAAAGCATTGTCACCATTTGATTAAAAAGGATAACTCTTAATTTAGAATAGAGCAGAGTTGGCATGACCAGAGCGTGATGAGAACTGGGAGTGTCACAGCTTGGATCCAGGAAAGCTGCCAGAGAAAGCCTGCACTCTCCATGATAGGAGGACTAGACTCCTTCTGTGTATGCACCAATATTTTGCATTTCGTATTTTGCAACCTCCTCAGTTTGTGATTTTATAGTGTTTCTCAGAATAATCTAAGGACATTGAAACTGGTGTGTGTTTAGAACCCCATTTATGTGGGATCTTGGGGGACTGAACTATAGTGGCTGCATCTAACTCATAAAGTGTTATAAAATCACACCAGGAGAAGGTTTCTTCAAATTTCATTACTAAAAATCCACCTGAGACTCTGAGACATCTGAGAGTCTATTTTCATTCTCTCCCCATTATCAAGGCAGAGGGTGGGATTGGCTCCCATGCCCTCAAGGCTCAGTCTGCATGCCTCCATTCACACTGCACGGTCATCCAAGAGCTTTATATAGAGGATTTTGCTTAACTTCAGAGCAAACATGATTTTGAGAATGAAATGTTTGTTTTATAGTTTAAGAAATTGAGGTGTGCACAAATTAAGAAGTAGTTTAAAGTCCTGGAGATTTGAAGTCATAAAGTATTAATTTAATTTGAATTATAAAATTATTTTATTGGGCTGTAAATGAATAAAATTACTGTAGGGGCAGGGGCGAGTCCCATTAGTGACTTTTCCCACACTAACACACATCATGGGATGGTTCTGCCTTCAACAGGGACAACCTCTATCCTAATCCCACTAAACCTGCCCCACTCCAAAGGATACCTTGAGCCTTGCAGCCCTCCTGGGTTCCCACAGGTTCTAAGCCACACTCAAGATGTTCTTGCTGATGACACTACTTGCTCCATTTTGTCTTTCATTGTTTTTCCTATTGTGTTTAATAGTTTCCTTAAAAGTTATTGGACCTCCCCAGCCCATCATTGTCAGAGTGGGAGAAGACATACAATTAACCTGTTACCTGTCCCCCAAGGCTAATGCACAGAGCATGGAAGTGAAGTGGGTCCAATCCCACCATTATCCTGCTGTTTATTCATATGTGAATGGGAGCCATTTGGCTGAAGAGCAGATGAAAGAATACAGAGGGAGGACAACATTGGTGAGTGATGACGTCAAGAGGGGGGCCTGACCCTGCAGGTGCACAATGCCAGGACCTCAGGTGATGGGCAGTACCGGTGTCTGTTTTGAAAAAGGTGGTGTTTACCAGGAGGCCAGTTTCGATCTAAAGATAGTAGGTAAGGATTCTAGATAGGTGTTTTAGACTCAATATATATTCCTACTGCTTTAACATGCTAATTTCTGGAAAATTTCCCTGACATCTAAAATTTCCATTTTAGGAATGGACATGACGTCCATTCACTCATCAAAGTCATACTGAACCCTCTGATGTGCAGGAACAACCATCAACCGTACTTAACACAAATTCAAGAGGACCAGATTTAGTTCTTTGGGTCTAGAATTAATTAATGCCCTTTCCAGGATCTCCGTAGAGTGACATACATTTAATGACATTTGAGAATTTTACCCCATGACTTTACATAGGATTCATTATTCCACAGTCATTAAAATTCTGGGAAATGTGTAGTTGCTGGAAAGTGAAATGACCCACATATAAACAAAAATAATAAATATTGACAGAATTGGCAAGACGGAGAACAAAACTCCCTGAATCATAATTTTCCACTGTCAATATTGTGACTGAGAATTCATTTTCCATGGTTAGAAAATGCCATTTGAAGACATGGCCAACATCTAAGATAATCTATGTTGTCTCTCCTATTGATTTTGTGTCTAAAATAATAAAAATTTAAGGAAATATCCATAGGAGGACATGCTAAGAAGTTAAATGGATTCCATCATTTTGTGACATTGGACATGCATATTTATAAAATTTTGGTCTTTGAGTATATTTTCATATTCTCTACTATCCTGGCCATGTGACCCATGCTCTGGTTAGTTTTGTTCTCATAGAAAAAAAATTGGAAATTTTTTGTATTTCTGAATCTGAGAATGATTTTAAGAATACATAAAATAAAAATAAAACAGAGAAAGAAAATGCTCCCACTACTCACATCCCAAGTGGAGTATAATTTCCCGCCCCCCCCCCCATTAGCTTTGCTCTCTACCCCAGGCCTCTGAATCTGTCTCTTCCTCCTCAGTGAAGTCGCTGAGCATAGAACTACTTGCAGAGACTAAAGGTTTTGTTCCTTGATATCTATTCCCCAGATCTCGGCTCTTCCCCACTGATCACCATGAAGGGACTGCAGGATGGGAAACACAGCTGACGTGCACTTTAGAAGGGTGGTTCCCACAGCCACCTGTGCAGTGGAGGGACGTGCAAGGAAAGGCAATACCCTCAGTTTCAGAGGTCCTGACTCAAGGCAGCCACAGCCTGTTCCATGTGGAGACATTCTGTGACAGGAGACCTGTCACAAACAGGTCTGCTGTGAATGTGACTTGCTTAATTAGCAACCCCCTTCTTAGTGAGGAGAATATGGCAACTTCTTGTCTCTTAGGTTAGTAATTCACGTGTTCCTCTCAGCTTTGGGAAATAAATATGAAGACAAACCCAGACCTACTCGTTTTATTGCTCTTCTGTTTCATAGTTTTAATTTTCTTCTCTCTGATGAAGTCTCCTGCTCTCTCTTGCAGAGCCGGTCTTCAGGACACCTAGAGTTTCTCTGCGACATGCCCAACTAAATCCCTAGGTTTATACTGTCATATGCTAAATTCTAAGAATTGACTCAATTGCCACTACATCTGCAAACTTTTGATGTGAAAACAATGACATCACCTTATTTTTTATTTCCTCATGGTGGATTTTCTTCTGGATGAAAAACTAATTTTTCTTAACACCATCTTCATGGCTATGGACTTGGTAATTTTATACTTTTGCTACCCTCATGATTACAGTGACCGTGTGATACAATGGGAAACAGAAGGGGAAGAAATATCTGTGTATGTGTATCTACGTGTATGTATTTCTAAGAGAAGCAAATGGTAAAGGCAGCACAGACTTCGAGTATCTCATCAGCTTCTGCAGAGCAAGGAGGAAAAGATCACTTTCCTTCTGGAGAGATCAACTCTCACCCTCCTCTCCAGCTCGGGAGCTACTCAGACAAAAAGGACTATCCAGTTGTAAGACTTACTTCGATTCTGGGTTTCCATTTTAGATTACAGGTAACTTCTTCATGGACGATACTGCTTATTTTGGGATTTCTTCTTGCTGCGGCTACAGGCCTAACCGGGAGGAAGAGCTCTAAAAAAGGTAAGTCAGGTAAATAGAAGAGGTCTTGAGCACACTTTGCCATGGGAGCCTTACCAATCACTCCCTGGCCTCTCTTTCCAGCAGTCACGTAGGGGAGGCACTCAGTGACTATTCAGTAATTAGTGAAACACAAGAGCCCATGGCTTACATTCATGTAATTGAGGATCAGTGCTGAATGAGATCAGTTTACAGTGATAATAGAAGCGAAAGGATTAAAAGACAATAATTTGATCCCCTAGTTCACGTTCTCAAGTGATCTAGTGAAAGGAGAGGAAGAAAAAAGTGGCATAACTATCCTTTCTTCCAAGGCTGAGACTTAACTGAGATTCTGTTGGCATGAATGTTTCACTGAGTCCTTTTAAAATATGGAATCTAGCTTATTGGTGATTCCTGCTCTGCTGATTGAGGACCTCTCACCTATGTTAGCTGTTTTGCATGCCCTATATAGTTCTTCCACTTTAACTCTTGTCACTGTAACTTTTGTTTGCCCGTTTAGATGTTAATACCATGACATTAATACTTTAAAGTACCCCCATATTGATTATAACTAGAATGGGTTTTCTTTCTCCAGAGCGAATGTGACACTAGATCCAAATACAGCTCACCCCAAACCGATCCTTTCTGAGGGAAACGAGAGAGTGACCCATCAGCACTGACACAGCCAGTCGTCCCACAGAGATCTGATGGCTTGTTCAAAGTGCCGGGCCAGATGGGGCTCATGACTGGGAGGTGGACCTGAAAGGTGGAGGTTGGGGACAGGACAGGATGTGTCCCAGGGGCTGCCAAGAACATCAGTGTCCCTTGATAATGGGTTTGGACAGTGGGTTGTTATAGAAACAAGTACCAGACCATTACTTTTCCTCCAAGTCTCCCTGAAGGTGGCTCCAGGACAGGTCAGAATCTCCCTTGACTGTGCCTCTGGAGTCTCTCCTTTTATAACCTGCCCACTAAGTGCCCTGTTTGCAGCTTACCTCAAACTGTCTTCTCTGAAACTCTACCCTCTCTTCATTCTTTGGTCCCCATGTAGGTTCTCCTGACATCTTTCCTACATCAGGGGAGCCTCTGCAACACCTCCAAGGAAAGCAATGACGTTGGGTTCTGGAAACCAGTATTATACTCCACATCCCAGAGCTTTTTTCTCCTTTCACTGCTTGAAAGGGACTCACATAGTCATCCAGGTGCCAATTCAAGAGTGCTTTAACCCCACCCACTCTGGCTTCACATCTGACCTGGGAACTGATCCTTTCAGAGACCTATCCTGTCCCAGGCTCTCTGGTATCCTGCCTACTAATCATAGTCTGATATGTGATGGCCAAAGGCCCTTAGAAAATCCCGTGGGAAATGCAATTTAGCCTAGAGGAGGAAATTTAAGGAATTATCAAGTATTTGATTGGTTTCTTTAGGAAGGGGACAATAATCCAAACAGGGCTGAGAAAATGAAAATACAGTTTAAAAAAAGAGAATCCACATCGCTAGTGATCAGAGAAATGCAAATTAAAACCACAATGAGATATCACCTCACACCAGTAAGGATGTCCAGCATGGAAAAGACTAAGAACAACAAATGCCAGCGAGGATGCGGAGAAAGGGGAACCCACCTACACTGTTGGTGGGAATGTAAGGTAGTTCAACCATTGTGGAAAGCAATATGGAGGTTCCTCAAAAAACTCAAAATAGAAATACAATTTGACCCCAGAATCCCACTCCTTGGAATATACCCAAAGAATACAACTTCTCAGATTCAAAGAGACATATGCACCCCTATGTTTATCACAGCACTATTTACAATAGCCAAGATATGGAAGCAACCTAAGTGTCCATCTGTAGATGAATGGATAAAGAAGATGTGGTACATATACACAATGGAATACTATTCAGCCATAAGAAACAAATCCTACCATTTGCAACAACATGGATGGAGCTGGAGGACATTATGCTCAGTGAAATAAGCCAGGCGGAGAAAGACAAATGCCAAATGATTTCCCTCATTTGTGGAGTATAACAATGAAGCAAAATTGAAGGAACAAAATGGCAGCAGGCTCAGAGACTCCAAGAATGAACTAGTGATTACCAAAGGGGAGGGGTGTGGGAAGGCGCGTGGGGAGGGAGGGAGAAGGGGACTGAGGGTTATTGTATTTAGTACACATGGGGGGGATCACGGGGAGAAAAGAGAAGCAACATAGTGGATCTCTGGCATCTTGCTGCTCTATGGACAATGACTGCACTGGGGTATGGGTGGGGACTTGATAATATGGGTAAATGTAGTAACCACATTGTTTTTTCATGTGAAACCTTCATAAGAGTGTATATCAATCATACCTTAATAAAAAATTATAAAAAAAAAAAGAAGCTATGAGCAAAACCAAAAAAAAAAAAAAACTAAGAGAAACTACAGCTGAATAAAAGAGGAAATATCTGGTCACTAAAATATAACCTTGAAAGTCATATTAAGTGTGGAATTCCTGCTCTAGGCTTTTTAAGAAAGTTTATAGTGGATGTGGAATGGGGAAAATTTTTAGAAATTTTAGTCGAGACAAATTAACTTTTTTCTTTTCTTTTTATTGTATCTATATGAGATGATGGATGTTAGCTAAACCTATTGTGGCAATCATTTCACAATATACATAAATCAAACCATCAAGCTGTATACCTTAAACTTATACAGTGGGCATTATCAATTATTTCTCAATAAGTGAAGAAAAAATTAATTTGTATCATGTATATGAAAATGACAGTTTTATTCTTAGAGCAAAAAAGTGCACAATTAAAATTAATAATTACAAAATTTTTAGAAATATAAACAGTAAATACAGCATACAATAAAAATATTTTAAAGTCATAATAAATTAAAGAAAAGAAACTACATGTGGAAAAGCAAGAATGTGAGAAAAGGACTTGGAAAAAAGTCTTAAAATCTTCTAAAGTGAGAATGAGGAATACGTACGAATGACACTCCACTGTTTTCTGGAATGACAGGCATCAGCTATCTCAGTCCTTTGAGAATTGTTCTTCTAGTGTTCTGGGATTTCTTTTGGCTCACTATTTTTTTCTCTCGATTTTTAAACTCATACATTTATGTCTGAAACTATACATAGTTCTCTGACAAGTATTTACACATTTACTTTAGTTTATAAATTTTTTCAACTATAAAATACACAAAACACAGAATTCATCATTTTAGCCAGTGTAAAGTATACAATTCAGTTGTATTTATACTTTCATAAAATTGTGTGACCAACATCAGCATCCAACTCCAGAATATTTTCATGACTCCAAAAGGAAAATTCCATAGCTATTAAGCAATCACTACCCATTTTTCCGTCTCCCCAGCCCCTGGCAACCACTAATGTACTTTCTGTCTGCATGAATTTGCCTATACTGGGTGTTTCATTGAAATGGAATCACAAAAGATGTGGATTTTTTTGTATCTGGCCTTTTTTACGTAGATAATGTGTTCCAAGTTCATCCATATTGTAGCATGTGCCAATACTTCCTTTTTTTTATAATTAAGAAATTTTATTTTTTAAGAGCTGTTTCAGGTTTGCAGAAAAATGGAGTGGAAAATCTAGAGCGTTCCCATATTCCCCTCTTTCCCCATAATATACTCTGTTACTGACATTGTGCATTGGTGCGGCACATTTGTTATAACTGGTGAACCAATATCGATATGTTATTTTCAACTAAAGTTCATAGTTTAAGGTTCATTTTTTCTACCTGACGTTCTATGGAATTTGACAAATAATTTACTCATTTTGATACATTAATATGCCCTTACATACCTTTCTTATTTTTTAATACAAATATATTAGTAGATATGCTAGCTTGGCCTTAAAATATTTTTGATGTTATTCTATTTTGATTTAATGTAATCATAATATTTTTATTTAATATTATCTGAAGATTAACTTTTTCCTTTTCTTTCTTTCTTTGTTTTGAATCTTTCTTCCTGATCACTCTAACTCTTTGCATTTTAGTGTTGTGTACTTGTGCAGGCCCAATATATAGATATGTAGGCTTTCCCTAGGAAAGCCTCATGGAAATGTGCTTTTTATCAGTCAATTCTTTTACTACATATTAAGAAATATTTGTTTTTTTGAATTCCCAAATTGGGGATTAATTTACTTTCTCAGTTCCAATTTCACTTAGAAAAGCCATAGAGAAGGAGAATGATTAATAGACTAATAAGACCCACCTCTACCCTCAGTCACTCAAACAGTCACTGTGGCTAACAGATGAGCAATAGGATTGGATCATCAAGGATCCAGCTCCCTCCTACTCCTGAGCAGTTGTAGTCATGTAAAGCCTAAGAACTCTCAGAATGGATGTATCTCAGGTCCAAGGAGAGGACTGGAGGAAACCAGAGAGACTAAACCTGTTAAACCCCTGTGGGACTTTT